ACCAGAACTCACACTTTGACAATTTTGCATACAACTTCTTCTCTTTCAACATTTGCAACACAATTCGCAAATGCTTAGCATGTTCTTCTTCTGATTTAGAATAGATCAGAATATCATCTATGAAGACCACCATAAACTTATCGAGATATGAATGGAAAGTCCTATTCATATACTCCAAGAAAATACATGGTGCATTAGATACGCCAAACGACATTAGTGTACTCATAATGACCATACTTTATTCTGAAAGCCATCTTCAGAATATCAACTTGCTTAACCTGAATCTGATGATAACCGGACCTCAAATCAATCTTACTAAACACACGGGAACCTACCAACTGATCCATCAAATCATCAATTCTCAGAAGTGTATACTTATTCTTGATAGCCACCTTATTCAACTGCCTGTAGTCCATGCATAATCTCATACTACCATCCTTCTTCTTAACCAACAACACGGGAGAAACCCATGAAGAAACACTCGGTCGAACAAACTTATTCTCAAGTAATTCTTCCAGTTGTTTCTTTAATTCACCAACTCTGAAGCTAACATCCTATAAAGATTCATCGACACCGGAATTGTACCTGGTACTAACTATATAGAAAACTCTACCTCACGCTCTAGAGGTAAATCACTGATGTCATTTGGAAACACCTCTGGGAAATCACTAACAACAGGTAATTCGACACTTGCAGCTTCACAATCAACTTGCAATAATGCAAGCATTGCAATCATCAAGGCCTCATCTTCTAAGAGTCCTTCCACTTGCTTAGCAGACAAGAACATCAGCTCTCCACTATCTCCAAACTTAGGAAACCTCACAGTCTTATTATAACAGTTAATATGAACATAGTTAAAATCCAACCAGTTCATTCCAAGGATAACATCAATTTGGTGCAAGGGTAGATACACCAAATCTGTCACGAACTCTTACCAAAGATAGTTAAAGGACAACTCAAACAGATAAAAATAGTAGTAATAGAACCCTTAGCAGGAGTATCTATCAGACTATCACCATACTACCCTTCATAGAAGACAATTTCAATCCCAACATCGTGGAACATTCAAGTGAAATAAATGAATAAGTAGCACCAGTATCAATAATAGCAATCAACTTAGCATTGTTAATAAAACAAGTACCTCGAATCAGGTTATCCTTCTTGGGAACCTTTGAACCATTCAAAGCAAACACTCTGCCATCACCCTCTATGATCCCCATCATAGGATCGATTCTCTCTTGGAACTGGAGCATATCACAAACGCACTCAATCCCCACAATGGGATTGAGGCTAATTACAAGCGAACCACCATCCAGAAATTCTATGAATGCATGATGCACAACAACGTCGCATAAAGTTCGACCACGGATAGTCAATTGCATCATAATTCACATAATTATCTTCCCATAACATGTATACATATAGTTAAACATGCACATCATTAAACTTAAATGATCACATTATCATCAAATACCAGCACCAAGGTAACATCATTAGAATACATCAAGTTATGTCATTTCAACAGAACATCATAGTATACCAACATATAATAATCCAAACTCATGCATATATAAACACATGAATAATACACCAAATGCTTCATAAAAATCTTCCATGAGATAGTTTTGTGTGTTAGTTTCCCAGCATTTTGAATGGTGTGTCAAACAGAGTCCTGAAACTCAAGTTATGATGCTTTGAAGTTTTACTGCCAGACTGCTCGCGTAAGCCTTGCCCGACGATCCTGGGAGCGCTCTACTCGCCTTCCTCTCACTTGATGCTCGCCCGAAGAATTGCACGATTGGGTCCATCGCTGCTTCGCTTGCCCGAAGAAGCTCTGGCGACGATCCCCTCCCCATTTATTTTTTAGGAGCCCTCTAATTCACCATTCTACTCGCCACCGGACTCGCCCGGTGACACTTGGACGACTAGCTCACCCCTTGCTCGCGTGACGCTCGCTTGATGACGTATGCGATTTCTGCAACTTCTTAGTCGTGTTTCGCTGTCGTCCCAGCCCCATTCTAATTTTGATTTCAGGCATCAATCCATCCAAAAATGCATTTTAATCATAGTACAACACATGTTAACATCAAAACACATCATTATATCATTATGGACATAAATCATGGTATAGTATTCATCATGCTTTTCACCAAATTCTCATACAAAGCAAAAAACTACATCTACCTTAACCCCCTATCAGTCATAATAAACAAAGATTACACCCCTTACCTCAAATTCTTAGTGATTTGATTCTCCCTTCGAGTTCTACCGAATTCTCTTCTTGGTTCTCTGTACCCTTGCTCTCACTTCATGTTCTCCCAAACTTTCACGATCGTACAAAATGATTCCTCCTTCTCTAATTCTCTCTATTAAAATAAATATTTTCTATGATCTTCCTCTTATGCCCTCACTTAACTCATATGCACTTATCATTATGCCCTTATTCTCCTTTTCACCTTAATATTCCATTCTTTTTATTATTATAACTCTAAATAATATAAACTAAATTATCTAAATCCAAATAATTTTAATTATCATCTACCTCTCACTAACACCCACCACATATCATCACACATCACACAAATAATCACAATTAATCAATTAAATAAGTGATTCTAAATTTCGGGATGTTACAACTAGCCTTGCCATGAAGACGAATCTGGATAGATCTATTATGAGTGGAGTCTTCATACAAATCTTCGAGATGTACATCTCGCCGATTAATACGACATGACTATCGTCTTAAGCTTATGTTTTTTCTCAAGCTCGAGAGTAGAGCTTCACACAATGAATACTTTTGTACACCCCGAACTATTTTCAAGATTACCGACTGACCCCACAAACTAACATAAATCTTTTTAGCATGCTTTATCCTCACTCACACACTTTCCAAAAAACTTCCCAAAAGGTCACACATCTAAATACTACTCCAAATCAAGCATGCTTAACTATGGAGTTCTTATTTATTAAGCTATAAAAAAAAGACGCATCTTGTTGATATAGATAGTATCAATCAATGCGTATAAATCTTCTTTCGACCATGCAGTCTCATACATGCACAGCCTCAGGATCCCTCTCATTCCGATGTGAATTCAGTTTTTTCCCTAAACTCTACTAAGAGTGTCTCATTGCCATGTCTTGTGCACCAAAAATCACTCTCTCACTCTTAGGTGTTACATGTAATCACTCTCTGTCCTCTTCGACCTCGGATGTTATAATTTCCAACTCATAAATGATACATGTATAATAAGATAAATGATAAAAAATAAAAATAAAACAAGACTAAATAAAATGAAAGCAGAAAATAAAAGAACAAACAAAACATATAAACAAACCTTAGATTAATTAACATTAATTTTTTTTTTTGCTATGTTCTTTATTAATTTGAGTTATATATGAATTGTGTTAGGGTTGAATTTGAGTTATGGATTATTGTTGTTTGGAGTTTGTTTTGTGAGATTTGTTCAAGGTTGTGAACTTTGGATTATGAATGATAGTGTTGTGTGAATAAGTTAAAAGGTTGGAGGTTGTAAGGATGATGATGGATATATTTTACAGAGTGGAGGAAAAAATTTTGTTTTTTGTTTTTTTGTTTGTTTTTTCTTTTGTTGCTTTGCATTGTTTAAGGAGAAAAGATGTAAAACGATGGAATTATGTCATTGAGAGATAGAAAGTTTGCATCATATTTTAAAAGTAGAAATATAGGTTGACTTTTCAACCTTGTTCCTTTTTTTCTTTTTTTTTTCATTTTTATTATTGTTTTTTTAGTTTTATTTACTTTATTATTAATATTGTTAGAATAAATATTCAAAATGGTAACAATTATAGTTTTGGGCTTTGATTTAATAATTGGATCTAAGCTCATTTATCTATCACACATGCACCCGTTAGTTATTCATTACACCACTACCACTTTTTTTATTTTATTCATTTTCATTTTTTTCAATTCATAATTAATTCGAGAATTTATTTAAAGTATTACTAATATAAATAATAATAAGGTGACATAGAGCATACCACAAGGGATTTGGAAGTTACAATTTCAAATTCCTCTTATTACAATTAACAAAATGGTCATTTAGCTCCAAATCATTTTAGATTGTTGACTTCTCATCAATTATAACTTAAATCATAATCAGAACCAGTAAATCTATCAACTAAAATTCTCAAAAGACTTAACATGAGTCATAGATTAATCATTGAGTTCATTTATTAAACATGATGAAATTTAAAGTCATCAATATTTATATATGTGGATGCTCATGAATATGCAGAAGTCATACATGAAGAATAAAGAAATTTCAAAAGGAAATGAAAGCTGTTTTGAAATAAGTTGTGTTTGATCATTTGAGGTTGCACTTGTAATGGTTATAGTTTTGGTCTATTGGTGACTTAAAATTTGTGGCACATGTGGCTTTTTCAGATGATGCAATTTTGTCTTGAAGGGGAAGAATATTTTGAGAATATTCTCAATTTAGTTGTGAAATTTCAATTCTAGCTTGGTTTTATACTTTTGTTTTGGGGTGCTTGTGGCTGACTACATTTATAGATTTTATTAATCTAATATTCATTTATTTATTTATTAAAGAAAAGTTTAAAATCTTTAAAAAATTAGTAAAAAATTTATTTTTAAATATATGATAATAATATATGAGATTCGAGAAAACAAATTGAAGATCGGTTAGTTTTAATTTAAAATTTATTTGTTTTTTATTAGAATCTTGCAAAATCAGCTCGACCAACTTATTCTCATTCCTACGAGAAATACATTAGAATTGAGATTGAGATTGAAACACTTTTTTCACATTTTTGTTAAGATTATTATATGTGCTATGTGTGTTTCTTGAAGGAACAAAACATCATTATCACCCTTGAATAGTTTTCTATTAAGTATTCAGATTCATTACCTTGTTCTTTCCACTTTTCCTTTTCTCTTAACCTACTCTCTTCTCTTGTATCCAAACTTAGTAATACTCATCACTCTTGGATTTTCATCTTCCATGTCTCAAATTACTCTCATATCTCCAGTAACTCTCATAGCTATAACTGGCATGTACTATACCATATAAATATCAATATCATCCAAATTCACAAATTAAACACTTTTTTCAATTCTCCAGCAACTCTTAGATGATGATTTGATTAATATTATTTGTTTTTTTTTTTTTCAGGTAGGAGGAAGAAACTTGGGGAAATATCTGCTGCAAGTGGAAGGTACAAATTGAGCTCATTATCATCACAACCACATGTTAATTGGAATGTCCAAAGGCATATTCCATGGTTTGGTTTCAATAATTCATCAAATTATTATTATTCATATGGTAAGAATAATATAAGTTTCATGGTGAATGCTTCTGATGGAGGAGCATTCTCTCTCCCTCATGGTTGGCCACTTGAAAAGGTTTAGGAATTTTTTTCATCTTAACTTACTTTTTCTTCTTATTATTATTATTTCATTTTTGACAAAATAAATATTCTTCTTTACTTTTACTTATACCCCCAAAATATCTTTATGTATTTGAGTAATCTCAAAGGTCCAACCCAAAATACCAATCCCAAAGGCCCAACTCATATTTTAAAATTATGAATAAATTTCAACATTAATATATTTATTATTAGTTAAGTAGAATAGTTTCACTTTGTTTTGAATTAATTATAATTATTTTAAATATGAACTTTTTATCATTTTTTCTAAATTAATTATAAGTTTTTTAAATAAATTTTTTACTATTCAATTTTTTTATATATTTATCAAATATAATGTAATGAAATCATAGTAAAATTTGTTATTATTTGAAATGATAAATACCCCAAATTTTCAAAGTCAAACTTTGACAAAAAGATACTACATTTCTTTCTCCACCTAAGTACAATTCAGTCCTAATGCATACCTTCAAAATTCCTCTTTCTAGCTAACAATATAGAAGTACTTATATAATATGACTTTTTAAGCTTGCAATGGAATTTGAGCTGATTTGTGGATGGTGGCTTTTTTAATTTAGTAAATACCTAACATTTTAATTTATATAGTTTAAATATATTATTCATTTAATAAATTTTAAAATTTAATTTTTGTTTATAATAAAAAATGGAATAAGTAAATTTATAGAAAATTACAAAACTATTATAAAGATACCATTTAGACAAACTCTCTTTTATAATTATTGTTATAAAAACAATAAGTATTATTTTCTATTTAATAATTAATGTATTTAGTTTATATATTGACTAAATACATTAAGTGAATAAAAAAAGTCAATTTATAATATTAAAAAGATAAGTGCATTTTATTCCATATAACCTTTTTATATTTTTCTATAAAATATTTTGATTGTAATTTCTTTTATTTAATATATATATTTTTACATTATTAAGAAAAATTCACTGTATCAAAAATCTTAGCTGTTAATGAATTGTGTCATGTTCCAAAAAAGTATCTTATTAATTTTAGTGAGTTCTTGGATTCAATGCATTTAAATATTCTTTTTTATAATAAAATTCTTAACACAAACTATTTAAAAAGTCATATTTTTTTCTAAGCTAGCTTTATTTTGTTAGGCATATTTCAACTTCCTACAGCTTATATTTATTTCTGTATATTTTTTGACCTAAATAATTTAAATACAATAGTAGACCTAATTTATTCACCAAAAATTCCTCTTTCTCTCTCAAATTGATTCCAGCAAACACAACACATAACGCAATCATTTTTCTCTAACCATCATCATCAAAACAAAACAAAAAACTTTTCCTTAATTCAACGCAGACCCAGGACTCTCCTCGTTGTTCTGTTCCTTTCCCATTCCTTAATTTCCCCAAACCCAAGCCATGGATTCCCAGATCCATGGCTTGCACCGTTAAACCCAATTCCTTTTTCCGTTTTCTTCGACCCATTTCAATGCTCAGATCCGTTTAAACAATTAACATCACAAAAGCCATCTCTCTAACCATGAAATTGTCACAGGTTTCTGACGATGAAAAGGGTTCCAAAATCAAGGGTTCAAGCCGTCTCTTCACAATAGGTCTTGTAGCAGCATGGTACTCTTCCAACATTGGTGTTCTTCTATTGAACAAGTACTTGCTCAGCAATTACGGCTTCAAGTATCCTATTTTCCTCACCATGTGTCACATGACAGCGTGTTCTTTGTTTAGCTATGTTGCTATAGCTTGGTTGAAGATTGTTCCTATGCAAACGATTCGATCCAGGGTTCAATTCTTCAAGATCTCGGCTTTGAGTCTCATTTTCTGTGTTTCTGTTGTGTTTGGGAACATTTCTCTTCGTTATCTACCTGTGTCTTTTAATCAGGCTATTGGTGCTACTACGCCTTTTTTTACTGCCATTTTTGCTTATATTATGACTTTTAAGAGAGAGGCTTGGCTCACTTATTTCACCCTTGTTCCTGTTGTTACTGGTGTTGTCATTGCTAGTGGGGTATGTAACTTATCTATCACTCTTGTTTTACTTTCTGAAACTTTTTATTTGATTGGAATTGTATGAATTATGATTTGAGACTTTTTTTTTTGGGTGTTGACTTTTATTTAAGGTTTGATCATCAAATGTTGTCTAGTTTAGGTTTGTTTTCTGTTGTGATTTCAGAAGCTCACATGACATGTTGTGTTCAATTGGGAAGTTCTTCTTTTAGGCCATTCTTTGTGTTTAGTTGACTTATTTTTTGTCACCGGTTTGATGGCTATTTTGTTTTTACAATGTTGAATTTCTGGCCATTGATGTGTTTCTTCTTCCTCTATTTGATCTTAGGGTGAACCGAGTTTCCATTTATTTGGATTCATTGTATGTGTTGCGGCCACGGCTGCAAGAGCCCTAAAATCAGTACTACAAGGAATTTTGCTGTCTTCGGAAGGGTAAGGGTTGAGAAACTTATCAGTTATCTCAAAAAAAAATTGTGGTTTTCAGAGTTGTATATTCGAATTGGACTGATATCCTTCTTGTGTGTATCAGAGAGAAGCTGAATTCGATGAACCTTCTCCTTTATATGGCTCCAATGGCTGTAGTTTTCCTTCTCCCTGCCACACTTATAATGGAAGAAAATGTGGTTGGCATCACATTGGCTCTCGCCAGAGATGATGTCAAGATAATTTGGTATCTGCTATTTAACTCGGCTCTTGCGTATTTTGTCAACCTGACCAATTTTTTGGTCACGAAACATACTAGTGCTCTGACCCTTCAGGTAAGACTCAATTATTAAATTAGTTGTTACACATCATTCGAAACCATTAAGATGGGCTAGAAGTCAATAGTTTGGCTATAAACATAATCTAAGAACATTATTGTTGTCTTTGATCCATATAGTCAATTCCACCAAGTAAGATAAGATTTGTTTTTCTTGTTGTTGTCTTTGTTATCACTCTTTGTTTTTCTATATTTAATTTTAAATCTGTTGGTAGTTGAGACATCGGATTTTGGTGGTTGTCAAATGCTCTTATCTTCAAATCACAATATTAGCATGGTCGTGGTCCTCTTTATTGTTCAATTAACTTGTGGCTTATTCTTTTAGTCTGATTAGTATTATTTAGTCTATGCATGAAGTGATTTTTTCAACGATTTCTTGTTCTTATGCATCATGAAGTTTTCTAAATTGATGATTTAACTAACCTCTAAGTTTATATCTACAGGTACTAGGGAATGCTAAAGGCGCTGTAGCAGTAGTTGTTTCAATTCTAATATTTAGAAACCCAGTTTCAGTCACCGGAATGATGGGTTACGCGCTCACAGTCTTTGGAGTAATACTTTACAGCGAAGCCAAAAAGCGAACAAAGTGATAGTTAGTTCATCATTCTTGGGAAGTCGGAAGTCAGAACAGAACTTACAATATTTTGTTTTAGTTACTGCACAGACAACCTCACTTCCTTAGGTGAATTTGTTTAGTATGCTAGTGACTAGAATCAGAATCTTTTACTCATAATATACAATTTTTTTGCCCCACATAGAAAGCTTCTTTGAATTATAGCTATGCTGCAAAAACAGCTCACAGTATAAAACTTGCAATAAGTGATATTTCTCCTTACCTGTCAGATAATTGAGTAATGCCTTTTTGTCATATATTCTTTGAAGAAAGAGTTGTAAAATTGGATAATCACTCATATGCCAACTCTACTTGTACTTTTTTAGTTATAATGATAAAATTCGAATTTTTGCCCATTGTCCAATTTTCTGTTAGTATGATTTATGAAATAATCTTGATTTTGAACTTAAGAATAATAAAATTGAGCTCAAAAAACATATTTAACAAAATAAAACTTTGTTTTATTATCCAGCCATCTCTCCTAGTTTAAATTACATGTACCCGCAAACTCAAAGTGTTGCAATCATGTCTAGCACCGATCTAGTAAAAAAAAACGAATGCCAACTTATCATGTTTGAACGATTCCAGAACTCTGGAGACTGTTCTCTGAAGGCTGTGTATCAAGGTTACATTTGTTTTTTCGACTTAATGACAAACTAAGAGTGGTCAAATCTGGATCAGATTGATGCTTGTTCCAAGCTACATCAAAATGCTGGCCTTTGCTTCTAGGCACACAAGAAACATATTGAATCAGAGAATGAATAACTTTATTTGTTGAAATTTTTCTAAAAATAAAGTCTTACTCTTTAAGTAGGACCAGTATATGAGATATATTTGCTCTAATCTCTTCCCGGGCTGTTCTCATTGCTGCTTCCTTATATACAAGAGCAAGCTCATCTATTGTTCTGAAATCACATCATGTGTTCTAAAATTAGATCAACCACGAAAATACAGAATAAAGTGTAACAAAATGTTGATATCCATGCCCATAGCAAGGAGTCAGTCCCATAATTGGTTCGGAAACCTCGATTTATTGCTATCACTTCATAGTTCTCTAAAACACAAATTTGGAAGAAAACAGATGCAGAAAATGTTCAACTTAAACGTATTCTTTATATGATAGGATGTGAACTGTGAGCAGTAGCACCTAAGAACATGAATGAGTAACTTAATGTCTATTTGGTATATGGCATTTACTCCCACAATACGACGTCCCCAATGTTTTATTAACATGGAAATTCAGAAGCTAACATTTGTAGTTTCCGTCCAGACATGCATAAATTAGTTTTCAAAAGCTATACCAAACACACGCTAAGTGACTACTGGAGGAAATTCAGAAGTTAACATTTGGAGCTTTGGTCCAGCCGTGTGTATATTGGTTTTCAAAAGCTATACCAAACAGCTAAGTAACTACCGGAGGAAAATCCATTCATAAGGCATCACTCACTTCCCTGGAGATGGATACCAAATTATCACCATTGAAAATTAGTACAAATATTATTCCTAAATGGAATAAATATCAAACACAAATTTCAAATCGTGTTTTCATAGTCTCTTATTCATCATTTTAATAACTGTTTTCATAGTCTCTTATTCATCATTTTAATAACTGTTTTCATAGTCTCTTATTCATCATTTTAATAACTTATACTCTATTTTTGTAAATATTTTATAAAAATGAACGCACCGTTAAAGACTTCATATCATAGCATGATGGAAGAAAAAAAAAGCATCTTGAGATTAAGTCAATATAAATTTACATCAGACTAACTTTGTGATCCTTTTTCTTTGAAAAAACAAAAACAAAAATGACCATTGACATAAGTAACAACTGCTACCAAAGTTAATCGAGAAGTGATATCCTGAATGTCAGACCACTTAACACCACATTTATTTGAAATAAAAATTTCCTGAGGTATCAGCTTAACTTACCTTGCAACATAAGGTGAGTTCCTAATCCATGTCACTCTCAAAACCTCGTAAGTACACTTCATAACCTGCAGAATAACAGTATATCGGACTTGATCAGAATTATTCTTTTGCATCAAAAAATTAAAAAAATAAAATTGAATACATATCCATCAATGTCAAAGCTGCATAAAGAGAAATGAAAGACAGTGCTGAAACTCCCTTGAAGTTAAAACAATAGCAAGTATTTTAAATATGGATCTAACTCAACATTGCAAATTCAGCGAAAGATTTTGGTCAGTACTCACAAAAATAATGTTTAATCAAAATCAAAAGGCTAACTTTCAAAAGTGCTCTCCAAACTTCAGATTAGTAAGCTGGCAAGCTTTAAAAGCTTTACCATATGTAAAGATGCTCACCAAAATAACAGTATCATCATCATCTGCATGCATCCACTGAAAAAATAATGGGAAAATGCGCCTGAAGTGGGCTAAAAGCACAACACCAACTCCATTAAATAGTGAATCAACAGATTTAAGCCATGCAATGCGGCGCTCTTTGTTTCTTGGTTGACGCTCCAAGTGACTTAACATCTCATTCAACATCCTTTCAAACCTACTCAAGAAATCTATAAATTAAATTCGATACAAGATATGCCAAAATTAGTAACATTGAAGGTTCATCATCATCATTGTCCAATTGAAATGCATGTATGCACTATGCTCATATCTAAAAGTTAAAACCTGAGCTATTGATGGACACTTTCTAACATCCATGGGTATGGTTTTTGGTTTTGACATACTCATTTTTTACTATAAGGAAAAGGGGGAAAATCTATTTGTTTACAACTCTGCAGAACTTTGAGGATCTGCAATCTTTCTTCCCTAAGGGCTCATTTCTTTCACACACACCCCTCTTCTTATTTTACAGGAACATGCCTTTTTTTATCTAATTATCTCAGCCTCCAACTAACTAATATGACTCCCTCAACTAGTCTAAGTGTCTAACTATCTAATTTTCCATTTGTCAGTTTGTTCAAACTAAATAACACTCTCTCAAGTTTTTGATAATAATTTTCACCTGCAGCACAATATTCCCAATCTGCCCACATCGGTCAGTATATCCATTGACTTCCACTCAATGGGATCGGTCAGTATATCCATTGACTTCGCACTCAATGGGATCAAAGCTCACCTGATTGAACATAATATAACAACAACAATGGTCAAAGTTTTTTCCACTTGGTGTTCTCTGCTACAGCCTACATGGACCAGACCACATCAAAATGTCCTGTGATGAACTAAATCTACAGATCGACCATAAAAACTACAGGCTTATTCCTAGCTGTTTCCTTTGGTCTCCCTCTTCCTCTAGTTAGTTGATTATTCTCCATCTAGTAAAAATAAACATTATCAGCTAATTCAGCTCTCTTGAACATAAGTAAACATAATAACGACGTTGGTAAATAATAACATAGTTTGTGCTCTTTGGCCCATTGGTGAAAAGTTGTTACTCTCTATTAGCTTCTTGACAAGCATAATAGAAAAGCACATATATGTAATCTGTTACTTTCTCTAATAAGTAGTAATCAATTCAAAGAAATCAGGACCAATCAACTAAAGTCACTGGTTCATAAAAAATAGCACATTTCTAAAAAAAGTGTTTCAAGTTTCAGTCTGGACGATGGTCAAGAACCAAATTCATTTTCTTTCTGACGAATAAAGATATAGGAATTCATAGTTAAACGGAGAGAGGTAAGATGATTAACAGTTAAATGAATAAAGATATAGCTAACCAAACTGAATATGCAGGAAAGTAAGAAGAGGAGTAAGACAGAGAGATATTCGTATTTGAGAGAAAATAAATTCTCATGTCTTTATTTGTTTAACTATGAATTTCTATGTCTTTATTTGTATAACTATGAATTCCTAGGTCTTTTTTGTCACATGGATTCCTATCGCTTTTTATTTTCACATGGTATTTAACATGTGAAGATATTAAAAATTCCGACATAACTAAACCATATAAAATAAAATGGGATGGAAACAGATCAATATACCACGGACTGCGCGGATTGCTTTTATGAGTAAGAGACATGAGAGTTATTGATGCTTCAACTACATAATGCCATATTTCATCATCAGAAGCTATATTCTGGCAGCAGGCATCAAGTATCACATCCTCAAACCCACCGAGCTCAGCAGCGTCCACATTTTTTCCAAGATGCATAAAGCAAACCATGCCCTGTCCCTGAAATTATAAACAATAATATCACACAGAACAACTTTCAGATTCAACCTCTTTCGTAAAGTAGTGATTTTCCACGTTTTTAAACGATCACAAATAAAACACTATATTTTTTTCATGAACATGCCCTTCCCCAGCTTCACCTATCATTTGTAACTATGAGTGTATTCGGATTGACTTTGAATTTATAAACTGACATAAGCACTTGTGAAAATGCTTGAGAGCGCTTACGGAAATAGCTTGTGACATGTTTTTAAGTTGTTTTCAGCTGATTTGCATAAGCTCTTTAGGATAGTTTATACAAAAACATTTTCTTTATTTTATCTTTTGTTGTGGTAGTAGCCAGTGTCGTCACAAACTTTAGAGAGGCCCCGTGTAAAAAGCTGAAGTTAGCTTCAGTTGAGTCATGAAATTTTTTTAAGGAGCCCTATTTAACCATAAATTAATTGTGCAATATGTGTATGGAGGTCGTTTTTGCCATAACTTAATCATGAAAAAGTGTGAGGCCAGTGTTGTAGGACGCCTTGCACACCATCAAAGACGGCCCTAGTAATAGCAATACATAAGCACTTATAAGTTATATGATAAGCATGTATGCTATAAGCGGTTAACTTTTTTTATCCAAACAGGATCTAAAGCACATACCTTCACCTCCGGCGACCAATGATCAACAGCAGTCAGCGCACAAGGAATCACCCATCCACACAATTTTCCCAAATGAGGATAATCAATCTATGACAACACAATTCAAATCCCAACATCATCAATATCTTAGAATACACATAACACAGGAAAAAAACCATCAAACACTAGTACCTGAGTAACAAACCATCTAAGCTGATGAGCAGCAAGAATCGCAAACCCAACGGGAACTCTAGCAGACGCGGCAGAGAACTCATCACTCTCCTCAGACTTATCAATCGCACTCTCCTTAATTCCATCTTTCAGAAAAGGAAGTACTTCAGGCAACAATTCCAGAAGCAACCTCTTCTGTACAGGAACCAAATTACAATCCAAACCGAACTCTTCCACCTTCTGAGAGTTCCTATCATCGAAGACTGTGAGGTACGCTTGGGAGAGCTCGAAAAAGGAAGCGGTTGCAAGGGAGGAAAGGTGATCGGGGATCCATGAGAGAAACTCTGAA